TAGCTTTTGAATATATCACCTATTTTTCAGTTTGCCTGGAGTTGGCCACAGAATTCCCTTCTCTTGCAGGCCCAGGGAGCAGCCGGTGGTAGACGGCTGATCCTCAACCCCTAACCGTCTCCATAAGCTGGTGAATGATACTTTCGTTCCACTGCCCTTCCCAGCCTCTTACCCTTTCCTGCTAGTCATTTCCGACCCGTTTCCACCTTCCCCAAAAGCATTCCTCCGCTTCACCCTTCCCTCCTCCTCACCTCAATCCCTTTCTCCAAACCCCAACGCCAGTGCTTGGAGACAGTAACTAGGGAACCCGAGGATGTGGAACTGCATCTTGGGACAAGTAGTCCCAGCCCAAAGAAAGCAGTGGAAAACTACAATTCCCAGAAGACACTTCCGTTTCCTCCTCTTCCTCAATGAGGCCCCCTCAACTCCACCCCCTTTTAAGACCCTCTTAGCCACGTCCACTCTATGGGAAATGCTTTTTAAAGACAGTTTTAAGTTGTTTAAGTCTATCATCTCTAGGGCTTTCTAGAGGTTAAAGTGAGAAATAGGCCCAACCAAGAGAGAGAAGAAATGAAGTTCACGAGTGAGTCTGGCATATGGTCAGACAGCCGCTGTGACAACAGTCAGGCATTTGGTGTGGTCGCCTAAGAGGTGGGGCCTGCGGCGGCGGAACCCGGGAACCCCGTGGGCCTGCGCGGCGCTCTTCCTTTCCGATCCGCCATCTGCGGTGAGTGTGTGCTTGTTGGCCGCTCCTCGGCCAGCGGCCTACCGATCTCCCTCTCGTGTGTCCCTAGGTCTAACCCGTCTCTTCCTTTTCCTCCACCTCAGGTGGAGTCGCCGCCAAGATGCAGATTTTCGTGAAAACCCTTACGGGGAAGACCATCACTCTCGAGGTGCGGGCCGGGTGGGGTGAGGGAGCGAAGGCCTGAGTAAGGCCCGGAGGTGGATTCCGGGGCCGGCGCTGCTTTCTGCCCAGAACATGTTTCCGAGTCAGGGTTCTGAGACCTGGCCCTTAATGCAGGGTCGTCTGCAGAGCAGGGGGTCTGGGCCGGTTTTGCAAGGCTGAAGTCTCGGCGTATCGCCTCTAGTGCGGGCCCGGCGACCAAGCAGCACGCCCGCGATGGGACGGGGAAGGTCTCCGGCCGGCCGGGCGCGAGCGAGCACGTGTGGCCCGCTGCCGCCCCCCTCCCTCCCCGCTGGGCTGAGGCGGTCCTGGGAGGTGGCCTGTGCACCGGGTGAGGGGCCAGCTCTGTTGGGGGAGCTGCAGCCCCCCACCCAGCTCGGTTCGCTCACATTGAATTGAGCGTATATTCTAGTTTTTTACCGTTATCAATACATTTGCGTTTTAAAATTTTAGGTTGAACCCTCGGATACAATAGAAAATGTAAAAGCCAAGATCCAGGATAAGGAAGGCAAGTACTATTTTCTATTACAGAAATATTAACCTCCATAGGCTCAGCCTACCTGTAGGTGCTAGACATACCTGCTCTGGGAGGGGTGGGAAGAGGTCAGGTTGATCAAGTGAAATCTTTTGGAATAGCACGGTGGGCAAACGTTCATGAGCATGGAGCCACGCCTCAGTGCATGTCATGTATGTGAACTTGGACAAGCTATTTAATTCTTTACACCCATTTCCTCATCTGCAAAATGAAGACTGTATTAACATGTACATATTGAGTATTGTTAATGATTACATGAAGTAAAATTTGTAAACATTTAAAACCGTGCTTGGCCTGCAGTAGACTCTGGAAGCTATTAATATCATTTGATTCAGGATTATTACTTTGTAAATCTTGAGCAGAAAGGCTTTGTTCTGCTCTGACTTAACTTGTTGTGTTGTGTTTTTTTTTTTTCATTAGGAATTCCTCCTGATCAGCAAAGACTGATCTTTGCTGGCAAACAACTGGAAGATGGGCGTACTTTGTCTGACTACAACATTCAAAAGGTTTGTTGGAAAGAGCCACCCTTTAAATAAATCTTTAAATTTTTGACACAAAAGTGGGGAGACTAGCATTAGATTAGCAAGATTTCCCAAGTAACTCCACTAACATTTGATTGCTCTAGTTTCTCACATTCTGGGTTTTGCAGATTGCATCCCATGGTGTAATTTAATATGTTCTTTAATGTCCTTGTAAACTAGTTAAGAATCAAGAGACTTTTCCTCCCCAAGACTCACTCTTCTGTGGTATTGTGTACTTCATATTGCATCTAATTAGAAGATGCAGGATGCTAGTTTTCCATTTTTAGTACTGAGCATGACCATTAATTAATGTAATTGTTTTTAAAGCCTGTTTTATGCTTTCTTTGATTAACAGGAGTCCACGCTTCATCTTGTGTTGAGACTTCGTGGTGGTGCTAAGAAAAGGAAGAAGAAGTCCTACACCACTCCCAAGAAGAATAAGCATAAGAGAAAGAAGGTTAAGCTGGCTGTCCTGAAGTACTACAAAGTAAGTCAGTTTATTAAAAATAAGTTTTTGCCTATAGGTTATTAAATTTTATTCACATCTCTGGTTTCAAACACTTTAAAAGTTTTTTTTACCTGTTTGATATATTTTTTCTTTTTTTAAATACATCTATTGATTTCAGAAAGAGAGAGAAAAACATCAATGATGAGAGTCATTGATTGGCTGCCTCCTGCACACCCCCTGGTGGGAATTGAGCCCGAAACCCAGGCATGTGCTCTGACCAAGATCTCAGCTGCTGAGCCGTGCCCACCAGCTTGCTTGATATTTGAATGAGCTTTAGATATT